GCAGTTGGACAGGTGTACCTAATAAAGTGGCCGGTGAGTGTATATGTAATTTAAAACAGTCAAACGACAAAATTAATCATAAAAAACTGTATCCACATACCAAATCATCTCATAATAATTCAAATGTTTATCTATTGGTATTTATCCTTTTACTTCCATATACCAATTAATAATATTTTTCCAACCTTCTTTTGAAAATATTTATGTTTGTACTTTGCTTAATTTCTACACACAAACTGATTCACAGATCTGTACATACTTGTTATTGTATTTTGGATTTTTAAAATTCACATAAAATACATTATCAAACTCTTTCTCTAAACAAATTGCTTTGTTGATTTACTATCTTGTTTTGTATTCAACTAAATCAGAAATTTGTAAATATATATGATTTCAAAAATAATGCGCTTGCAGGTGCTTTATATCCTCTGTTGGGTATTGCTGTTATTACTTTTTTCTAAATGATGCATAAGAGCTGAAGAGAGCTTTGTAGCTATTTCCCCAGAGCTCCACACAATAGGATAGGTTTGATAATGACATTTATAAGGAGCAAATACACAGAAATTCAGAATGCATGATGTAGACCAAGTTAGGCTACAATGTGTGTATTCATGGTTGTATATTTACACCCATACAGTACATGCTTGCAAATATATTATTCTGCAACCCAAATATTAAGCCCTTTGTGGATAAGTTTTACCTTTATTTTAAATACAGTTATTGTCTCGTTCTGTTTGTTCTAAAAAATACAGTATTTATTCCCTTTTAGGTGTGGTTGATTGACTGATTGGTTTAAAGAAAAACTTTTTAACCAAATTACAAAGGGAGAATCTATAAATCATCAGCCAAATAAATCTCTGGTTCTCATTCATTTTTTATAAAGTCTTTGTGTCAAAGTGTCACATTTGTTTAAGACATTAACTCCTACAATTCTACTGCTATCCGTGTCCTTTCTGCTCTGACATCTATGTGCATCCCTGACTGCTAATTAATGTCACTCTTTCTACAATTACAGAAGCCTCTTTTCTAATGGCAACGACAATGCATTCTGCCTAATTAAACAAGCCATAATTTGTGAAAGATTAAAGCCCTTATGGTTAGTCATAAAAAGACTACAAAGGGGGAATTAAAAATTCATTTATGTGCCAATAAAACAAAGTGCAGAATAGAATATAAACATAGAAAAGAAAAGCTCATATGTACAGAATACAAGACAAAACATATCAGAGAGCTATAAAACAAGTAAATGCTGTTTGATTGCATCCTGCAGTTTGTTTTCAAAAGAAGAGGTTCTTCTGTATTTCTGCTAAAATATCACCAGTTAGGTGAGAGGAGGCAGGCAGATAGATGGAAGATTATGATTTTTCCCTGTTTGATGTATTTTATGAGCAGGCAGAAAGAGATGCTGGAATATGGTTGAAAAACAAACAAATGGTCAAAAACATTCTCCTAATGACAAAAGGGTTTTTCAATTTTCACACACAGATATATGAATCACCCTTCAGTACCACACACTGAAACAAACACAAGCAGGGAGCATCTCTACCACTGCTCTTCTAAGTATGAGTATATTTCAGTGTGTTTACTGCTTCTCCATCCCAGCGAAATGCCCCCTCCCCCTTTAAAGAAGATCAAACACATGTGCAACACAGTTATACTCGAGAGGCACATCCAAGGTTGCATCTATGCGTTGTCCAGAGTTCATATCTATAATGCAGAAGATGGAAACTGTTCCACACATCCACAAAAATCACACGCTCATTCATCAAACAGCTGAATGGGGCTGAGCTGAACATTGTATTCATAAAACCATATCAGTCCACCAGAAATAAAAATAAATCAGTTACAAATGTAAAGTAACCACCCAGCCATCACTTGAAAGGCACAAAGCGTAGGCTGGCATTTCAAAGGCAGGCTTGCCCTACATACGCTATATAAAGGTTGAAAAGACATTTTGGTTTTAGCTATTTTGGCTGTTAAGTTTCCCACCATGGGGGGGTTCTTTATCGACGCCGTTTTGCTTATTGTTTACTCGATGATTAAAAGCTGTCATAAAAATATATCCTGGCAGGTAGTTGTGTTATCTCTCAGCTGCAGACTGAAGTTAAAAATAACTCCCTGCAAAGTATTCCATCTTATTTTTTGCTGAACCATATCATGCAAATCATGAGCTCAAAAGAAAAAGAAAATCTGATGTTTTTCAGCGCATAAATTTAGGTTTATTCACTTGGATATGTTTGCATTTTAAAAGATAAAAACATCAACAAATATCTATAACTTTGTCATTATTATAGGGTTGGTAGTATGCAGAATTTTTTCCTGCTGCAAATTGTGATGGCAAATGTAGAATAAAGATACAAGTACATAGATTCTGAAAATGATCAAATATTGAAGCTTAAATAATTTCAATGAACATTCCTCTTTGAATAAAGATTTACTTCTTTCAAACCTGCAGGACCAGGTGAGTGACAGGACTGACATTCTGGATGCAAGCCTCTACAATCAGTGACCTCAATAGGAGGACTGACCCTTAGAAATAAAGCAAGGTGCCAGGTCATCCATGGGAGTTTAGAGTAAAGCCACTCCATCTTCTCTGCAGTTGGAGGAGTCCAGGTTGTTTGGCCATCCAACAGTGGCACTGCTAGACATGCCCTGAAGGGAAACATCTCAGCGCTATGCCGTGACACGGAGCCCATCTGCTTCGGCTCCATTTATTAAATCATTTTACATATATTTCCTTTTTAAATCAGGGTCAGGACTTTAACGTCTTAACTTCAATTCATTAGTTGGAAACATTTTAACACTTTAAAAATAATGAGCACAATTAATTGCATTTTAGTCTCAAGCCAGAACCTTTGTACTCCCTGTTTCACAGGTGTTGATCCAGTGGAGATATTCTAGCTTAATATTGCTCAAAGCAATTACCTCAAAGTGGTATGGACCTCCGAACTAAAGGGGGGAAAATGCATCTGAGGTTGGTGTAATAATTGCTATCCAAATAGCGCTGGCTGTTGGGAAGGAACGAGGATTACTGGTGTTAGTAACTAGCTTAGTGGAAAAAATAGCCTCATGGTAATTGGTTTTAATTGTACTAAATGATCTATATTGAATAGCAATTGTTAAACTCGTAAGGCAATCTTTTATGCAGAGCTGAACTGTCACAGTTCTCTCAGAATTGGAAATATCTTCAGTTTAAAGACAAAATTGTTTGCCTCGTTGCCATATAAATAACTTTGTGCAATTTTTAGTGGGAGGATTGTGCTAAAATGAATGTTAATGTACTATTCGTTGCATAAAATATCAGGGGTTTCTAAAAAAAAAAAAAAACAGTTAAAACATTATAAATTTAAACCAATCGGATGGTTGAATAATGTAAAAAGTTGGATTCAAAACAATAAATGTATTTGCTGTTGTATTCATTTAATATTGTATTAAATTATGGGGGGGGGGTTGAATCAAAAATGTTTATTTTGTAGGTACTTATGATTTTCGATTAAAATGGTACTAATTGCAATCAGTTGACTCTGTTTTAACTTGACAAAAAATTTAATTGTGTCAATCCAATATTTAAAATGAGGCATTTTGTATATTCTTAATTTATTCATCTGATTATAACTGACTGATTTTATTACATTGCCTAGAAACATCTGCATATAACTGCATATGCCTCATAGTGTTCTTTGTTATATCAGCTTTTTTATATTCAATGGATGTGATTTCTTATGATTTTCTTGCATTAGTTATGTAACTTGGTTGTTTTTAAATGTTCTGAAATAAACTTAATCGAACATTGATCATCACAACATTTTTAAAAGAACCAACATCATAAAACCCAACTATTTCAATAATATTTTCACTGATTATTTATTTTACTATCATCATTTTTAGTGCAATAAAGCCACAACAATGTAAGCTTTCTATATGGCCCATTTATATGAAAGCACACTGTAAAAAAAAATCTAAAATTACCGTGTTTAATAAACCACAAAGCATGTTAAAGTGCAGAAGAATAGGTTGGAGAATTTATAGTCTATATATTTGTTATTATTTCACACATACATTATTTGTCCACAAACATGCCTAATGGTGTAAAGTAAACTTTGCATAATCGATATGGAGCTTTAAACCTTATCTAGTCAACAAATCAATGGATGGACAATGAACGAAACATCTCACACAGCCTCCGTGTTGTTATTGACCAGCTGTTATGAGCAGCTTCTTCTTATTGATAACTAAGACATTTAAATGTTCTTAAGGCACTCCAGATTGCAGGTAAGACTCATTGTAATGGATGCAGCCTTATTGCGACTACCTGAAGTGCACAGTAGTTAAGACGACTGCTGCTGATGACGATGGTTGACAGATGCAGAAAGACAGATCACAGGATCCCCCATTAACACTCCATCTTGTATAAGAGCACAGGCGGAAAAGACGGGCTGCAATTTGGGTAATTTTGTTCTCCGCTTCTTCCTTTTCTTTAATGACAATAATTATCTAGGGAAAACATCTGTAGATGTGTTGTCTCCTTCCTCACCAACCCTTCCCTGGTCTGATCAGTATCTTTTCCTCACATCTTTGTCTTAATCACCCATGTTTATTTTCTTGTTTTTCTTTCCTCCTCTTTTTTTTCTTTATCTCAATCTCCTTCAGTTTCTGACTCAGGTTTATTTATTCAAAATTAGCATATGTTTCCTTCTGTTACTACCAATGCTTCAGAGAAAAAGAGGCTGAGTTTCAAAATTTTAAACCCAAAGTAATGCTTTAATGCATTTCAAGAGAGGTGATTATGTTTCCTTCTAAAATATTTCCCCCCTCTGTCTTGCCACCACTTTTAGCACAATAAATTGTTTCTTAATCTTGTTTGGAGTCAGGGAGCATGAGAAAAACAGCGTGAAATTCTTACTCACCCCAGTGGTTTTTCAAGTCGACTGGCTGGTGATCCAACAATCTCCCCGAGAGTGCAGAACATCTGACCTAAAAAGTCCTGGAGGGAAGCAAAGAGGGGAGGTTGAAAAGAACATAGGAGGTAGAGCTAAATTTTGGATGTCAAGTCAGGAGAGAAAAACTCATGTTCAGAATTAGAAAATGACATTCGTGGAGTCATGCAAGTTACATCTCAAGCAGACTTTTAACTAGCGCTTTTAAGATCAAATCAAACTTAAAAAAATATATTAAGTAATCGCTGTGACATTAACTCTTAACCTGTAAAATTACTGTATACAATTGCTGACTCCCAACTTTGTATTACTGTTATGATTTTGACGCTCATGTTTGGCTTAATTATTCATTCCATTCGCCTGTCTAACTCCGCCTGGTTGTTCATTACCTCTCATCTTATCTACCTGCTCCTGCCTCTATTTAAGGTGCCTGCATCCAGTTATCAGGCCAGATTATCTTGTTCTCTCCATCCAGTGGTCAGAGTTTTTTAAAGTACCTTGGTGTTTCTGATTTCCTGATCCTGACCTGTCCTGCCTCTCAGCAACTGAGCCTTCCTGTTCTTGTTCTCTCATGCCAGTGGTGAGAGGGTTTTTAGCATACCTTAGTGTTTCAGATTTCCTGATCCTTACCTGCTCTGCATCTAAACCAATGAACCTGCCTGTTCTTGTTCTCTCATGCCAGTGGTGAGAGGGTTTTTAGCATACCTGAATGTTTCTGATTACCTGATCCTGACCTGCTCCTGTCTGATCGGTTTGCCTGAACTGTCTTTGGACTCCTGGATCTCTGAGCCTGCTTGTTCCTGTTCTGATCTGTTCGCCTGATGTGGCTTCGGACTCCTGCATGTTCTCCAGGGCTGCAGCATCTAGGGACACCCTGGGCGGTGCCCGCTGCGTCTTGTAGGCTGCCCACCAGCTGGCTTCTTCCTCGTTCTCCGACTATGGACTAAACTTGTAAACCAGGTTAGTGACTCACATGCATAATCTTGCTCCATGGTCACTAACCAGTGTATTTCTCTCCAGATTTTCCAGCCACAGACGTCTTAGTAGCTGTTATTACAGAACTGTTTATTTTTCAAAAAAATTACTTTTGAGTAATTCCACTGTCTGTCTTGCCTGAATACTAGGTCCCCTGTTCTGATTCGTGACAACAACAGTCCTTTTTAACAGTATTCATAACCCATGAACCTTTAGACATTTTGTGTTGGTATAATCACAAATTTTATTTACTTTTTGTAGATATTTATATGAATTGGAATAAATAATATATGGTTATCATATTTTTGAATATTTAAAAATACAAATATCAATCATCTAATCCTCCTTCTATTCTTTGCTACTCCTGTAAGTCATTTGTGACTAACTCCCTTGAAGTCACATAAATGGGCAAATAGAACAAAATTTACAGCATGATTACAGCTGGAATTAAAAAAACAAATCCCATTTAATCCATCATCTGATAATAGAGCAAGAATTGTGCAACTAGAAACCTATCAAACATGGCTGTCCACTTACGATGGCAGGCTGTGCAGGGAGAGCATCTTTCGAAGAAGCAGCCAAGAGGCCAATGGTAACTCTCAAGGAGCTTTGTGAAGCAGTAACATCGGAAGTGGAAATAGTCTGATATCCCTAGATTCCTAGAGAAAAAACTATCCCTTAAGAGAACTATTTGAAAAATCCATCTGATGTTTGACAAAACCAACTAGAACACTACAGTATAAAGTTTTGTTTATGCCAAAAGTGCACACGAGTAAAAAAATTCTGATATGATATTCTTTGATATCTGATATACTTAAATGAAATCAATATTTCTGTCTTAGTTAAAGAATATAATCAATTTCACTTTTTATTTGAAATATGAAGGTTTACTGAATTCCAACATACAATGCCAATCTATAATCAATGAATTGTATCTCTTTCAGTTATTGGACTCCAAACCCACTCTTACCTCCAACTTTAACTCACTACATTAAATCGTTCACACTGCATACACTGATGGTGGCAAGCTAAATGGTTGCCACAGCTCCCCTGGGGCACGCTGACAGAGGCAGGGCTAACATACACAAGCACCACTGGGCTGTCTGAACACCACCAGTAAGCAAAAACAATAAAGTGTAGCACACAGCTTCAGCCAGTACAGCAAACACTGATTGTGGCCGAAGTCTTGTTGTGATGAGTGACTCGGACCTCAAGCTTAAGATGAACTGGTCTTGCCTTGCTTAGGCCAAAGTCCCCCCTGCTAAACTATTCAAACTGACATTCAGCTGAATAGCCAAAACTTAACTAAAGAAAAAACACTCTCCCCTATAAGTATGGAAATTAACGTACACATCTATTACACTTAAAACCACAAACCATTTACCGATGAAAGCAATGCAGTCCAGTTCATTAATGCTTTAAGTATACATTGCTTGCTATAAACAAATGATCAAGTTTCTATGGCACTGTGTGACAGAATACAATTTAATAGCTGATCACACAAAGGTTAGATCATGATCAGAACCCTGAACCAACTTAATGGAAAAACTGATTGGATTATTCAAATAGCCGTTTCCATCTTCATTTCCAGTCTGAGACATTTCAGTTAGATTAAGATCCATTGCCAGCAGTATTCAACTTTCAACTTACCCGGTTATATCTTCTTTAAACATGTATAATGGCATCAAGGTGTCGGCTAATGTTCTTATGGTCATGTAAAAGAAATGAAGAGATGCTTGATGCTGTACTGTAAGGTACGATTTACTGCTTAAAACAGTTTTCCCTAAAATAAGTGATAACAACCTGATAACTGGCATCGATTGCACTTGAAAGTGAAAGCAATGGATCCTGATCAAGTACAACTTTGCAACATTTTTAGAGTTATAACTCATAGACCTACAGCTACTTGAGGGAAAGACGGTCAATTCCATATGATGCAAAAATGCAAGTTCTTAAAGAATATATCCTTAATAAAAATGATCCAAATTAAAACTGATTGATTGCCCATGACTGAGGGCTGACAAACTTTCCATCCCCAGTTGTTGTTTTCTTCTGTCCATGTACAACCAGTTCCCATAGTTCCCATTGGCAAAATCATATAAGCTCATACAGACATATTTGAAAATCATTGCATGATTTTTACCATTTGAGGTTTGCTTTCATTGACAGTTATCTATTAGTTCAATAACCCCTCCCACAGACTGCCACTCTTGGTCTCTGAGCATCGTTCTGCTTTATATCTGGCCCAGCCCAGCTATCTTAGCCAGATCATCTTTGTTATTCCTGCTTGATGTTTGACATTTGTAACGGGTTGAGAGGGTTTTGGTGTTTGTCGTGTCCTGGTTGGTAGGTGGAGTACAGTTTAAAGTTTCGCAGTTATCTTAGTACCATGTCTTGTCTCTTTCCATCAACGACTGAGCCTGCCTGTCTTTCTCTGTGCGATTCTGTCTGAGCTCGTTGCTCGATGCATGGAACTCGAAACCTGCCTTAACGCACTGTGGATTTCTGTAAGCCTGGATCAGTCTGTTCCTGTGTGGATCGGAACCCCTGATCGGGCTGTGGACTCCTGGATTCCATAACCGTTCCTCTTTGATCTGTATCCCTGACCTGGATTGGATTCCTGCCTGCTTACTGAGGTTGCTGCATTGGGGACACTCCGGGCCGCAGCTCGTTTGGCAGTCCATCGGCTGGATCCTGCCTTCCTCAGAGAGGATGGACTGAACTGTTAATCCAGGTATGTGACTCACACAGATAATCATCTCCTGTCAGATGATTGTGGTCACTTACCTGTGTTTGTCCCTCCAGAGTGTCAGTTATTGGGCGGTGCGCTTCTGTTCTGTTCTGTATTTATGTTAAATATTTTGAACTTTGCCGCTGTCTGTCTAATCTTGAATACTGGGTCCATCTTTCCCTGTTCATGACATAATTGCCATTTCTAAAATCATGACTGATTGAGGTTCTAAATAGATAGAACTAATCTGGATAACTTTCTAAACTGCCACTGAAAATTCTTCACTGGTGCACCTTTCCGATGCTAATGTCTTCCTTGCTTGTCTGTCACAAAACTATTGTTACCCCACAGAGCCCAAAAGAAATGTAACAATTTAATTCAAATGCTTTTTATCGGTTGTTTTATATTTAAAGCAGTAGGGAAATGTTGAAATAAAAACCAACTGTTCTTCATTTTTCTACGTTACTTTATGTAATGAAATATGAAAATCAGAATTGTGTCTGATATTTTTTATTGTTAATTTCAAATTGAGAAATGAAAGAAACGGATTACTGACGTTTATCAGGATAGGACTGACAGGACTGGTAGAGAATCAGGCTTAGAATCAGACTTGGTATTTATCTTCAGTATTGCAAGGTGAGGCAATCTAACCGAAAAGCCCTGAAGTTTGGCCTTGGCAGACAGGGATAGCTAAATAATTCATCATCAGCCAGACATGTTTTACATTTCAGAGAAATCTTGGTTCTCTCTCCCTACCGGTAGCATTCATTGTAAACTGTTGATGCCCTCAGCAAGTTATGATAGGAATATATTTTCCATTTCTAAATTGCAATGATATGAGAGAACAACATTTTGTTTACACCCTGTCCTCTGTGGTGCTCTCTGGGGATTTAGACATGTTCAGTCGCTTGCTTTGGTTTTTAGGTGTTCTAACCTAATGACTGACACAGTCGTTCCCTCTGAGAAACAGATCATTAATGTGAAACAGCGACCATGCAGTGTGAGTGTAAGAGGAGATGCAGGGACCTACATTGAGTTCTGCGGGCTTCCAGAAAAGTTGGGCGGCAGCAGCAACAACAACAGCAAACAACAGTAACAACAGAGCACATCATATACCAAGACACAACACAATAGCAAGTATCTGAAAACTCTTATGGCCCAGTTTAAATTGACACCATGCTGAAGAACCAAAACACAGAGCTCCTTACAGGTGAAGCTAATGATGGGAAAATACAAACCCCCTGTTATCCAAACACATCAAATAATCATTAAGAATGATTATTTTGTTGTTCCAAACTTTTGTCAATGCTTTCTGGCACCACAGTTTCCAGTTCTAATGGAGAGAAACACAACTTATGGGGTCGAAGTAAAATAAAATACTTTGAAATAGAATATGCTGCACTGTTTAAAATGGAAACTTATAGTCAAAAGCATTGCTCTATTAAAGTTTTATTTGCATCTACCTGCCACTGCAGGGCTACCATAACAACTAACAAAAAATAAATAAATAAAAATAAATACGCAAAGAAATCTAAGTTCATAGAGCAGACAGTGGATTACAGAGCTATAAGAATGAAAACAACGGATGGAGTTTTTAAAATAGGTAAGGAGCTTTCTGCCCAGGGCAGCACAACCTCATAGGCAAATGAAAAATACACTTTTATCTGTTATATGCACCTGCCCATACCCAGCCCAATATCCTACACGTTTTGTCTATTTGGCAGTGAAGGAAATGGCGTTTCAAGAGTCAAGCAAAATGTAAAAACTTTTATGTAGTTTTCACACCATGACGGATTTAATAACATTTGTGTATCAAACTAGATGAGACCTTAACAGTGTTGTTTTAACACAAAGTCTATGTAAAGCACAGCTTGTCAAA